CAATTTAAGTTTGTGGGTTTACTTGGACATGTTATGGTTTTAATTCATCAATTTTAGTTTTGTTCAATTTTAGTGAGTGATTCTACATACTTACATATATTGTTTGTTTGTTTGATTTTGACGTTTTTAGATGGTTTTATTTTATATAAGCATATTTTCGAGTAAAAAGATTTTGGATACTAAGTATTTAATTATTTTTTTTGCATGCAAGTAAATTTGTAGGTGTAGTCTTTATTGAGCTTTTATAGTTGTCATGCATGTATGATGTTGAGATGTAATTTTTTTTAGCTTTTAAAGTTGTCATGCGTATATGTGGTTGAAAGCTTTTGTTTTATTTTTAAAAAATTGTAGTGTGATAGTGTTTTGAGTATAAGATTCATGTTTTGAGGGTAGCACAAGTGAGAGTGATACGAGTTTTAGATTCGTTATTTTGATTGGTTTATATTGATAAGGGCTTGAGATGGTTTACAAATTCTAAATTGTTGCTTGCAATTTATGTGAAGTTTGTGGGTTTAATTGAGGTTAGCATTATGTATTATAAAGTTTCGGTTAACAATGCTTATTGGCCAGTTGGTAGCTGGTTTATATGGTTTGGGTGTCAAGTGATTAATCTCTGGTGTCTGTAGTTACATTTAAACTAGGATGAATTTAGTCTGAACTGGTTGATTGTACGTGAGTTATAGGTTATGGATGCTCCGCTCACACAAGTAGTGATATCATTTCGTCCTTTATTGAAGCAAATTACCAGATGTTTGGATTTCCCTGATCTAGAATACCAATATCTCAATCTCCGAAAAAGCATTGCTTGTGTGGCTATAAGGAGCGAAAATAGTGTTGTTCCTACTGTTTATCTTGGTGGAGATACTGATAACGTAGATGAATCGTGTGAAAATGCAGCTAAAAAGGATGTGTATGATCTTGTAAAAAGTTATGACATAGTTGTTGAAGATGTAACTGCTTTACATAAACAAATGTATGAACGTTGTGGACGATTGTATGGTTACAAGAAAGAGGAATTGGAGGCAATTGAAAAAGGAAAATCAAAGGTTTATTTTCATGGAGATATTTCTACTGAAATTGGTCATAATCAAAGAATAGTTGTTGTAGATTTCCTTGAGGTGTTGAGGTCTATTTTTAGATGTGTTGATGTGATTAAAATGCACTCCAATTGAAATTATTGAACAATTCCCAAATCAATATGTTTCTTGGTTTACCATCATTCACCATAGGAACAATTCAGGATTTAGGTGTTTGTTCAGTGATTTTTGTTTGAGTCAGGTTGCAGCTAAGCAAGACCTAGCTAGAAAAGATGTTGATTATCTCATTAATGTGTGTAATCTTGAAATAGTGGATGCTAATTATAGGGCAACGACATGTAGTTTTGATGCTGTGTTATGTGTTCTGGAGAGGGAAAGTTATTTAAGTGCAAAGGAACGTGTGTTGGGCGTTAAAGAACACCTGGAACCTACTTCTAGTCTTGTAGAGCAGGATTGCGTGGTTCCCGTTGGAGAGGATTTCCAAGCTCCAATGCCTAATCCACCTGTTATAGATTTCAATAAGATTGAACTTAAGTCTCAAGTTGCATAATCATTTGCTATTTTTTATTCTAGCATTGAATAAATCCCAAAGGGGGTAGAGTCAGAATATTTACATTGGACGTTTTAAGCGTGTGAGGCTTTTAAGGGATTAGATGTTTTAGGTTTAGCTTGGAGTTAAAGGAGTGTCAACTGCTCACTGTTTGGTCTTTTGTTGTTGAATGCTTCAACTAGGATAGTTTTTTTTGGAGCAAGAAGTTGAAGTTGTTTAATTAGCTTCTTGTATGTTGCACATGATAGTTTTTTGTGATGCTTGTGCATTGGACTCTTTAAAGTAAACAGTTAGATAGGAGTTTGTATTAAAGAACTTGGCTATGTGATGGTTGTAATAGATTATATATAATTAATGACAATGAATTTTTTGTGTTTTTTGCTCTAATCTTCCTGTTTTCAATTACTTGTTGTTGTTATCTTGATTTATGCAGTTTTAAAGCTTATGGTATGTCTTGTTATGAAAATACAGATTACTTAGATCACGAGCTTTATGTAGTAAAAAAATAGTTAACTGATACAACAATGCTTGCAAAGACAACATATCGTGGAATTTGCAAAGAACAATAGGATATGGGTGAGTTTTTTCATGTATCTAACAAAATTTAGATTTAGGAAAGTTTCATTTATAGTGCAATGATTTGAGGGTAATAGTTTACTAGATTAACGTTGATCACCAATTGTCTAGATCGATTATTACAAGCATCAACGAATTCAAAAAAAATACAGAATTAAACGTCAAAGAGGGTTAGAAAGTGGATGTGATAAGGTAGAGGCTGGTAATGAGTCCAAGAAAAAATCAAGGAAAAAAATTCAAGTGACAAGTAATTTTAGAACTCTTATTTGTAGTAAACATATTTTATATTCAATTGAATTGATGTGGAGATAATTGCTTATAAATTTGGTGTTCATTATTAATAAGCACCTTTATCGACAAGAAGATACACCAATAACCGCCTTGTGGATTTGGAGAGAGGATGTAGTGATCGAATGCAAAGATACTTAGAGGTTGAATACTTTGGTGTTATAGAAAAGTTTATTAAATTTTGCTATGTTTTTGTTATTGATTTATGTTCTTAAAATAAAACTCAAAATGTGTTTTTATAATTTTATTTTAAAGGTTACATGAGCAATCTAATGAAAATTCTAGAAAAGAAAAAGGGAGCACAATTGAAGTGTCAAGTAATTAAAATGTCATTTTTAGGGAATTTCTACATGTTTTTACATAATAAATGTATTAATGTAAAAAAAAAGTATTTGAAATTTCATTGATCACATTTTTTTACAGATGGTCTTGTTTCAAAAACTGTTGAAAGAGTTTTAGTTCAGGTTTTTGCATTACCTGCAGCTCAACTGACAGGTAATTTTAGTGGCTCATTGTTGATGTTGCAAATTTATTTATATACAATTGAATTGATGTGGAGATAACTGCTTATAAATTTGATGTTCATTATTAATAAGCACCTTCATCGAAAAGAAGATACACTAATAGCCGCCTTATGGATTTGGAGAGAGGATGTAATGATCGAATGCAAAGGTACTTAGAGGTTGACTACTTTGGTGTTATAAAAAAGTATATTAAGTTTTGCTATATTTTTGTTATTGATTTATGTTCTTAAACTAAAACTCAATATGTGTTTTTGTAATTTTATTTTAAAGGTTACAGGAGTAATCTAATGAAAATTCTGGAAAAGAAAAAGGGAGCACAAATGAAGTGTCAAGTAAATAAACTGTCATTTTTTGGAAACTTCTACATGTTTTTACATAATAAATGTATTAATGTTAAAAAAAACGTATATGAAATTTCATTGATCACATTTTTTATATATGGTCTTGTTTCAAAAACTAGTGAAAGAGTTTTAGTTTAGGTTTTTGCATTACCTGCAATTCAACTGACAGGTAATTTTTGTTCTCATTGTTGATGTTGCAAATTTTATATACAACTGGTTTGGAGCTTCTGGCTATTGAAATTGATTTGATCTTTACTATTATAAACAGCTTCCTCGGCAAAGGATTACAAGAATAAACATCGTACAAATTTGGAGGGTGAATGCAGTGTTCAAAAACAAAGGTTTTTAAAAACTTTATGGTATATTATTGATATTAATTTTCATAGTTAGAATTTGACTGAATATGTGTTTCAAATACTGTCTTAAAGTTCAAAGGAACAATCTGATGCAAGTTTTCAGAATAAAGAAATCAGTAAATTCCAAGCGATAAGTAATTTTTTATTTTACTTTGTTGATATCGCAATTTTACAGTAAATATTTGTATTTTAAAAACCCTGAAATGAACATTGTTCATATTTTTCACAGGGGGATGTGTTTCTCTAATTGGAAAAAAATTCCTACTAAGTCTTATCTGCTTCCTACACCTACTTACTGTCATAGGTGTATGGCTAAAAAATTTGCTTTTGAATCACTTTACTTCTGTTGTGATGATGGAGAAATCAGGATTGCTGTTAATGAGTACCCTCCACTGCTTGTGTGGTTATTAACTTCTACAGATGAAGAAGCAAAACATTTCAGGAAGTATGTGCGATTGTATAATAATTTGTTCGCTTTCACTTCATTGGGCGGTGATCACAAAGCTGAAACAAAGAATGTGATATATGTTTTTAAGTTAAATGGAAAGATTTATCATAATATACCCAGTTTAGTTCCTGGTGAAAAAGGGCCACAATTTATGCAATTTTACTTTTATGATGGACAACATGAATTCGCTAATCGTGTAAAGTGTTTTTCTACATTAAGGGAAAATATTTTGGCTATGTTGATGGAGATTACAAATCTAAATCCGTATGCCAGGCTCTTTTGAACTTTGAGGGGAGTTTCAATTAGTGATTCAACACAGATTCTGTTGAATAAGACTACAATTCTAGATCAACGTGTTTATAATGCTCCAACTTCGGATGAGGTTGCTGTTATTTGGCCAGAGAATACTTCTTCCAGTGAGTCTGAAAGTCCACACATATTAGTCACTAGTGTAAATGATTCTCCTCATATGATTAATACCTATTATGGTTGCTATGATCCTTTACAATATCCATTGCTATTTCCATATGGTGATTATGGGTGGACTCAAGGTTTAAAGAAGATGTCTTTGGGTGGAATACAACGGTTACAGTCTCAGACAGATCCAGTTTCTTCTTGTAGTATACATACTAACGAACGGTTGTTAGATGAAGAATCTAGGCGTATGAGTTTATTCTTATTAAAGTATATTTGATTTTATATATGTCATATATATAATTTTATTACTTATTTATTTTCTTTGATTTGTAGGTGCAAATGGAGGTTCATCCAAGGCAAATAAACATATTTCAGCTTGAGAATATTATGCACATAGACTTCAGTGTCGTCCGAGAAATACTTGCTCAAAGCTGGAAGATGTTTTCAGCAATATATCGTTGATATGTATGTCAAGGTAGAGAATACACGCTTAGATTTTTTTCGAAGAAACCAACAAACAATAAGGGCTGATCTTTATCAGGGATTTCTTGATACCATAGGCTGTGGAGAAGAATGTGCAGCAAATGTTGGAAAACGAGTTATATTTCCTGCGACATTTATAGGTGGTCCTCGAGATTTGAAGAAGAGATATCTGAATGCAATGTCATTAGTTCAGAGATTTGGCAAGCCTGATTTATTTATAACTATGACATGCAATCCTAATTAGCTTGAAATTAAACAATGTTGGAGAAGAAGCAAAAAATAGGCCAGATATTGTCTCAAGAGTTTTTAGAGAAAAGGTACTTACTTTAAAACACTTAATCAGGAAGAAAAAAATATATGGAGAAGTAGCTGCAATGATATATGTTATTGAATTCCAAAAAAGAGGTTTTCCTAATGCTTATTTTCTCATTATTTGAAATCAGAATTCAAAATAAAGACTCCTGATGACTTTGATAAGTTTGTTTGTGCTGAAATTCCATCTTCTGAGAATGGATATTTAAGAGAAATTGTGATCAAGCATTTAATGCTTGGTCCATGTGGTCATCTTAATCCAGAATAGCCTTCTATGAAACATAAAGAACGACGTGGACATTGTATGTATGGTTATCCAAAGCAAAATTGTGAAGAAACTAAAAGTAATCGTGATGGATATCCTATGTATCAAAGGAGAGCTACGTGTGATATTGTTAAAGTTTGGAGTGTTGAAATGGATAATTCATGGGTGATTCCATATAATCCATATCTTTTAGCACATTTCAATTGTCATTTAAATGTTGAAGTTTGTTCAACTATTGAAACAGTGAAGTATCTGTATAAGTATGTTTATAAAGGACATGACAGGATATCATTCAATATTGTCTAGACAAAAGATGGAGTTCCTGTACAGGATGAAATTGAACAGTATCAATTAGGTCGATGGGTTTCACCCTGTGAGGCTGCGTGACGCCTTTTTGGTTTTAATATATATGAAATGTATCCTTCAGTTTTACCTCTTCCTATTCACTTGCCTAACTCTCAGCTGATACAAATGAGACCTCATGAAAATCTTACGTCAATTGTTTCAGATGATAAGCGTACTAGGACCTGTTTAAAAGAGTTCTTCAAAATGAATTGTAAATCATCTTTGGGAACAGGATGGCTATACAATGAATTTTCAGAACATTATCGGTGGGATTCATCAGATAAGCAGTGGTATAAAAGAAAGAATAAGAAAATTCAGGTTGGAAGGTTAGTATTTGTTGGACCTTCTGAAGGTGAAAGATACTATTTACGGTTGCTGCTTCACAATTTCAGGAGTCCAAAGTCGTTTGAAGATCTATGAACAGTCAATGGCTACGTGTGTCACACTTTTCAGCAGGCAGCACTAAAGTTGGGATTAATGGAAGAGGATGATGCAATTGAGTTGTGCTTAACTAAAGTATGTGCCATTCAGATGCCTCATGTTATTCGAAAATTGTTTGCTACATTACTTATTTTCTGTCAGCCTAGCAATCCTTTGTCTTTGTGGTTGAAATATTATGATTCATTTTCTCCGACATAAACATCCTACAGATGCTGCAAGAGTGAAACAGCTAACCATAAGATCAGTTGAGCAGTTTGTTGAGTCAATGGGAAGTACGTTGAAAGCATTTGGGTTACATGATTTAGTAGAAGATGATGGTGATTTTATACATGTAACCAAAGACATAGAAGATGCATTGAATGCACCGATACCACCAAAATGTCTGAAATGTAAAGATAAGTTAAATCAGGCTCAACGAGTTGCATTTGATGTCATTATGGATCATGTTACAAAAGGAAAGCCCGGTGCCTTTTTCATAGATGGTCCTGGTGGAACAGGGAAAACTTTTTTATATAATGCTCTATATGCAGAAATCAAATCAATGAATAAGATTGTTTTACCAACAGCCACTTCAGGTATTGCTGCAGCCAATATTCCTTCAGGTAGAACTGCACATTCACGGTTTAAAATCCCTTTAGATCCTTTAGGCTCTCTTGCTTGTAATGTTCCTAAGCAGGGAAGTCTAGCTACACTTCTAAGGGAAAAAACGTTGATTATTTGGGATGAAGCTTCTATGGCTAAAAGGAGAATATCGAATCCCTCGACTCACTACTCAGATATATTTGTAGTTCAAGTGAATTATTTGGAGGAAAAATAGTAGTTTTTGGTGGGGATTTTAGACAAGTTCTTCCTATTGTTCCACGCAAAACACAGCGAGAGGCAGTATCTGCGAGTTAAGTCACTTTTTCTCTAAGGCCATAGCTACTGAAGTTCAGGCTTACTGAAAACTTAAGAGCTAAAGATGATCCTGCATATGCCGCTTTTTGTTGGCACTGGGAAATGGTGAATTGCAAAACACCGAGGATGCGTTTGTTGAGCTGCCACTGGAAATTGTTAAGCCTTGTTATAATGGAGAAGCTGATGATGTACATCTAATAGCTGTAGCATTTCCAGAAATGGATATGCTTCCATTCAGCTCAGATATTTTTATCACAAGAGCTATACTAACACCGATGAATGAGGATGTTGATGCTATTAATTCAAGCTTGATTTGCGAATTCCTAGGTGAATCAGTAGTATATAAAAGCTATGACAAATGATTGATGAATATTGTGTCGTATATCCTACTAAATTTCTAAACAAGCTTTGTCCTGGTGGTATGAGTCCACATGTGCTAGAGCTGAAAGTAAATAGTCCTGTTATTCTGTTAAGAAACATTCTGCCATCATCTGGCTTGTGTAAGGGAACAAGACTAATATGTAAACGATTTTTTCGTAATCTCATCGAGTGTGTTATTGCTCTTGGACATAACAAAGTTCAGCATGTGTTAATTTCGAGAATATATGTACGCCCATCAGACTCAGCAGGCTATCCTTTTCAATTTCAGAGGAAACAGTTTCCTTTGAAACTTAGCTTTGCAATGACAATCAATAAAGCTCAGGGACAGACACTTAGTCAAGTTGTGGTTTTTCTACCACGATCATGTTTTTCACATGGACAATTATATGTTGCGCTCTCTAGAGCTCGAAAATCAGCTAATGTCAGTGTAATAACTGAAGCTAACACTAAGCAACAAGATGAAACAAAGGTGAAAAATATAGTATCTTATGATATTCTTCGTTTGGCAGGAATCATCTAGCAGATTCAAAGGGTAAGTTATCATCATTTTTTCATACATATTAGTTAGGAGATTGTGTATATTTTTTTATAACCATTTGAGAGATTATTTTAATTTGTGTATAACTTCTACTTATTTTTCTATGTTTTTGCAGTAATGGAATAGCTTGGAATTTAGCCAAAAGAGTAATGCCACATATTATAATGTAAATGTAAATAGTGCAAAATTAGATATGTCCACATATTATTATAATGTAAATGTAAATAGTGGAAAATTAGATATGTTAATATTCTTTTCATTATCAAGGAAAAAAAAGGAAGAAAAATTAAAAAATTAAAAAATAAAGGGAAGAAAAAGGGGGAGACAAGAACACTATTACATGCTGAGATAGCTATGCATGCTTGCAATTTTCTTTTAGATTAGAAAGGGGATGGAAGTTTCTGTAAGAATAATGCCACATATTATAATGTAAATGTAAATAATGGAAAATTAGATATGTTAATCTTATTTTCATTATCAAGGGGAAAAAAAAGGTGAAAATTTTTTTAAAAAAAAGGAAGAAAAAGGAGGAAACAAGAACACTATTACATGTTGAGATAGTTATGTGCATGCAATTTTCTTTTAGGTTAGAAAGGGGATGGAAGTTTCCCACGTCAACTTGCGCATGCATTCTTTTTCCACTTAATTTTCCACTATATAAGCAATGTATAACATCATTTACATTCTCTAAAAAAAACCTCTACATTTAAACTTAGGCTATACATATCAAAAAATATCAAATACCTAAACAATTGGTTAAGCTTTACTAGGTTCAACACACAGCAATCAATCATTGGCTACTTCATAGGTATGATCAATCTAATTTTCATGTTTACACAAAAAAATCTGATTTTACTTCATGAATTTAGATAGATCTGCATGTGTTGTTATTTTTCAGTATATGGCCTCTTAATTTTCTTTGTTATAAACATTCTGCATGCTGATAATTACTAATTTAAGTTTGCAAAGCATCTGTTTTAAGCGTGCGGTATGAAACTTTTATTTTTAAATCACAACATGCTTCAAAAATTTATTAGATTTTGCATAATAAGTAATATATTCTGAATACCTACAAGTTCATGCACAGTTATCTTACATTTATGCCTTATAAACAATAATTCAAGGCATACAAACTGATTTATAAATCATATACATCAAATATTGTACAATAAGAGCAGTGGATTGATGATATTTTCATGTCTAACATTTTGCATGCACAACAATTGTTAATTTATTTTTGCAAAACATACACTAAAGACATACAATAATACTCATACATTTAAAATATAAAAAATCCTAAAAAAAAACTTAAAAAACCTACAGAATTATAAATGTATTTTGAACCTGTACATATTGCATGCATTATTATCTTTGATTTCTTCTTCTTGAACATCAAGTTAAGGCATGTAGAATGATTTAAAAATCATTTACATTAAATAGTTTTCAATAAAAAACAGAAGACTAATGATATTTATATTTCTAACATTTTGCAGACATAAAGATTATTAATTAAAATTCAGATTTCTTCCATTTAAGGCATGCAATATGAAACATGTTTGTAGTATTTAAATATATTTACTTTGATCATGTAATTCAAAAATTGTTACACAAAGAACGGTTTCATGGCGCCACATCGAAAATTCCTAGATGAAATTGATACTACTACAAAAAATTTAAAGGTCAAAGTAAGAGTTGTAGAAAAAGGTCGTCCACAGACATAAAAAAAAATACACGATATCAGTGTATATTTTTCAATGATGACAAGGTATATCAGTTTGTTCTACAAACATTTTCAAACTCAACACTCATTTTGCACAAGTTAATGAAAACACTAAAAAAAATGAACATCTTCTTGCTTTTTACAGAATAACAGAATGAAGATGACACTTTTTGGTGACCAAATTCAAGCATACAGGGATGTTATTAGTTTCAGAGGAAATTAAGAAATTGCTGATGCTGTAGTAAGGAACTTGGATGCACAATGGAGAGCTAGAGAAGATTATCTTCCATTCCATTTGTCATTAGGAAGCAAGACTGTCATTCGGTCTTTGGATCCTGAAGGAGAAACAATTTACCCCAGATATCAAACACTTGCTTCTATTCCAAGCATCCATGTAGACGATGACAAACATGGTAAACAGACTATATAAATTACATATACAACAATAAAATATGTAAATTATACTAGAGTGGCATAATACAGAATATAAATATTTAGTTTTTTATTTTTCTGTTTTAGATATTCTCGCGATAGTTCTATATGCATCAGAAGAACTAAGAAGAATAGTGACAGCAGCTAACAAAGAGACATCAATTCGAGATCTTATGGTGATAGATCACAGGTAATTGCTTTTAAAGACGGACTAATATCTTTGTATTCATTTCAATACATGTTATACTA